TTATTTATTGCCACTGAAATGTACACTTGCAAATGGTTAAAAATAAAAAGGTATATATTATACATATTTTACCATAATAAAAATATATAAAAATTTTTAAAAGGGTTTAGGAAGAGGAAGAAGCTAAGGTTAGTAGGAGACACTGAACTATGAATTTAGTAGCAATTAAAACAGAAAGACTTGGGGGAAAAAACTAAAAACCCAAAAAGCAACAAAACAAAAAATTTCAGGCTTCATAATACTTAAGTTCTAGTGGACTACAATATCCCTGACTTTGTCTGTTTATTAATTATCTTACATTTGTTTCTAATAGGGCTTTCATTTTTGTAATTTTTTTGCTTTCTTTTATTTTTCTGAGTTCACTTAACTCACTGTTCTTCTTTTTCTTCTTTGAGCATTTTGTCTCAATCTCACTCTTTCTCCCTGTAAGAGATTCTATTATCTTTAATTTCCTTGACACTATGGAACACTGTTTTAAGTTTTTCTGAAGTTCTTTGAGTAATTTGTCTTGTGATATTTATTCTTAACCTACATTTGTTCTTGTTGTCAGTTTATTTTAATGCAATGCAAAATCTCTCCTATAAATTGTCTTCTTCCTGTGACTTTTGTGATGTCACTCTCCTAATTTTAATCTTCTGTTCTTTCCTTAAAAAGTTGTTACTCCCCACCAATTCACCTTTCACTGCGCTCACACACTCTACCTTCTTGGTGAATATATCACTTACTTATATGCTCGTAATAAATCACTTACTTTCAATGAAATTGTCTCCAGTGTCTACAACAGTGCCAGATCTATACAAAAAGCTCAATAAAAACATGTTCAGAGAATAACTCCCGAGTCTACATTTCCATCTTGCATCTTATTCCTATACTCCATATGGTCTAACTCAGCAGGTCTAAATCTTAACTCACAGGCTCTCCTATTACCTTGCCTAACTCAAAAAATGGTAACAATATGAAATAAACAAATCTATTCTGCCTCTAGTAGCTCCCATCTGGAAGAATTATGTTACCATTTGTTAAATTATGAAGACAGAATCTGAACATCATCCTTGACTCCTTCCATTCACTCCCGTTTCATTTTTATGTTCCGTGTGGCTACATAATGGTCTCATAGTTGAGTTTAATATCAGGAGGTGGTCATGAATTATTGGCACTCTCTAGCTCAATGGCTCTTAACTGGAGGTTAATACCCACCAAACTCCCATCCAGGAAATTTGGGAATGTGCCAAGCCTTCTGGTGGTCAAAATTAATGGGGCACTACAGACATTTAGTGGTTGGGGACCAGAAAGGCTAAATGCTGAACAACTGTGTCAGAAGACACATTAAAAACTCTCTAGCCTAAATGCCAAAAATGCCAAAATATCACAGAAATGATGCATCTAGCTATTTTTTAAGCCACAAGATGGCAATAAACTGCAAGAAAGTCCTAAAAGATGTGGTTAAAAAGAAACACGTAGTTTCTAAACATCTAAACAGGAAAAAAAAAATACTTTTTTAAAAATTGAAAATGATGACAAACACTTTTGAATGAACCAATGTATTCCAATTTTTATTTGTAATGGAGATAATGGGTAATTCTTTCCAAATAGATTACCAAAGTGGCACAAAATTTCCTACACTACTGCCAGAAACCTCATTCTGCTAAAAAGAACATGCCTAACAAATTCTTCATTTTTTAGTTATTTCATCTCTTAGAAGGTCAAGTAAACAACAGTGGCAATAGCATGCTATATAATCTTTGTCCTGTAAAGACAGCCAGCCAAATAGCTCTGGTACCAGTTGAAGAATTAGGTCAGACATCAAATACCTTTAAAAAAAAAAACTAGAAATAAGTGGTGGCCCATAAAACAGTAAACTTCATTTTCTTGAGTGGCTTATGAATTAGCCCCTAAGGCAATTTAAAAATGTTCTAAGGAACTGAAATAAATAAGAACCACTAATATTTTCCATGGTGACAATGTTAAAATAAAATATTATCAGACTAAGTTTTGGTATCCTTATTTAAGAAACCAATTATTTGATTGTCATTCCTTTCAGTAATATGCTTATTTTGAATGGCTTACAATATATTCTATGTTCCACAAAATACACCTAAACAGTGAGGTATAATTAAATCTCTACTTCCTAACAGAGACAGTGTAAAAGTCTACAAGTTAAGATCGCTGTACTCTAAAACCAAATTGCCTGGGTTCAAGTCTTGAGTCTAACTTCTTAGATGTATAACCTTGGGCAAGTTAAATAAACCCTTTGTTGCCTTGATTTTCTCATCTGTAAATGCAAGTAAAGAGCACCTACTTCACAAAGCTGTTGTGAAGATATAAAGAGGTGACACATATCAAGGACAATAGTCTGGCATATAAAAAACATTCAATAAATGTTAGCAGTATTTGCTGTTCATTATTTTATTATTTACTCATTTTTGGTTTTAAAAATTTATGCTGGTATAGGAATTCCTTAGGTCAAGACTGAAGACGATATTAGATCTTAAACCCAGCAACCCCATCTTATATCATAGTATCTACAGGATAATGACCTCTGGAGAAAGAATCCTAAACGAGTGCATCTCACTAGCTATCATGCCTCTATAGGCTCCGGATATATATATTTTAGCTATGCTCCAACTATTTAATTGCTTTCCAGTTTCTTTAAAAATGTGTGTAGATCCTTGCAGGTCATATCTTACTGAATGTCTATAGCTTATGCAGCTATAACACTCTCTCAGGGCACACTCGCATTGCAGTGCTGCAGATGCACCTGACTCCAATTTTTTGCAAAGTGTATTAATAAACAGACACTGAAGTGTTGGCCTTGATGGTCATCACTGAGACATTCAAAGTTAAGATATTATTGATAATATGTGGGTGATTCCTCTTATATTTCAAGATTAGATCCCTGGTCTACATCTTTCCTAAACAAATTAAGAATGTAATTCCAACAAGTTAAGATGACCAAAAGAAAAAATATCAAAGAATTTAACTTTTTCCTATGTCTAAGTGTGGTGGGGTTATACTAGTGCTTACTAAGGTTCTCCTTTCCTTCCTGGGTGTATAGAAGTATGGAAAAATTATATATCTATGACATTATTTTATATATATACATATTGTATATAAATGTGTGTGGTGTGTGTGCATGTATGTTTGTCACTGCATATATATATACACACACACATATATGTATATATACACATACATAAACACACACATATATGCATATATACACATAAACACACATATATGTATATATACACATACATATACATATATATGTCTATATGCACATACATATACATATGCATATACATATATATATGTTTTCATTCACAGTTCCTGGCTGTCAATGCCCACAGCCTTTGTTATTTGTTAAGCAGTCAAAACCAAAAACATACCTTTTATTAAAGTATTTGGCCTTTTGTCCCTGGTTCCTGAAGCAGCTTCAGACCAGCTTCAGTGATAAAGGTGAAAGACAGTCATTTGTTAATATTCAAGTACTTTAGGCCTCAGAAGCAGGCCTCAGAAAACAGAATCTCTCTCTCTAATCTTCTCTTGCCATCCTTTCACATGCTCCTTTTTCCTCCCCATGGTAGGCCATAGGAACTAAAAATACACTCTAATTTTCTCCCACCTTTCTTACTGCTGGCCATAAGGAAATTCTCTGACCTACCTTGTCTGTCTGTAGGTCATAAGAACCCCATTTCCGAAGGGGACCTGCCTCAAACTGAGGAGAAAGGAATGTTCCATAGAGAGGCCAAAAAATTTGAACAGACAGAACTTCTTGGGTTTCCACACTCTATTCGTATTAGATCGTACCCTTTTTGTCAAATTACATTTCTTCACAGTTGTCCATGATTCAACCATGACTATCCAATGAAACCTCCATAAAAGGCCCAAGAGGACAGGGTATGGAGAGCTTCCAGATAAACACATGGTGGTTACTAGGGGGTCGTGCATCCACCGAGGGCATAGAAAGTCCACCCCCTTTCTCCAATACCTTGCCCTTTGCATCTCTTCATCTGTATCCTTTACAATATCCTTTATAATAAAGTGGTAAACTTAAGTGTTTCCATGAGTTCTGTGAGCCACTCTAGGAAATTAACTGAACCCAAGGAAGGAGGTCAAGGGAACTTCGATTTATAGTCAGTCAGTCAGAAACACAGGCAAAACAACCTGGGGCTTGTGATTGGCATTGGAAGTAGAGCTCAGTCTTGTGGAACTGGGCCCTCAACCTATGGGATCTGATACTATTTCCAGGTAGACGGTGTTGGAATTGAACTGGAGGACACCCAACTGGTGTCTGTTGCAGAAGTGATTGTTTGCTTGCTGGTGGGGAGAAATCCCTACACATTTGGTCATGGAAGTGTTCTGTGTTGATTGTTGTGTGAGGGCAGAAGAAAAACAGTTTGTTTTTAATACAATGTCCCAGACCTTTCTATTAGGCAGGGCCTTGTGCCTTGTTTCAGCCTATAAAATATAAGTGGTAGCGAAATGATCACTTCTGGGTTGAGCGATGTAAGACTCCTCCCCGTTGCCATATCCACATTCTCTTTTTCCTGGACAACACATACTGAGACAGTGGCTTCATAAAATGGAGGGAGTCTGGATCCTGAGTCACAGGATGAAAGAGCCCCCAATGATCCATGTTAGTCTTGGCATGAGAAAGAAACTTGCTGTGCTATGCAAATGAGATTTAGAAGTTTGTTCCTGCAGCATAACTTAGACTAGTCTGATAAATGTACAGAGGTACTTCATTTTCCTGCCTACACACTACCAAGTGACAACAGGGGTAAAGGAAGTGGGAGAAAATACGTACAAGGGGGCAGAAGTAAAGGAAGACCTGGAGAATGCTGGAAATCTCTGAAAAATGAGGAAGAAAAGTAGAAATACAGTAAGACAGCAAATCAATTTTACTTATGAAGTCCTAGGTTTATCATTTGGCACCTTTGTTCTGGCCTGGAGACATCTTTGCATACAGACAAAAATATTCCAAGAGCAATTCTTACCTTCGTAACTGAGCATTCTCACTTCTTAATGGTTGCATGGCCAGTGCTATCTCAACTTGAATATCTGTGTTTCCACTTACTGCTGGAAGTACAGATATACATGCCTCCATTTCTGTAACCAACCTCTGAATTTCTGAATCCTCTATAAAAGGAAACAGAAATGAGTAAAATCAATATTACATTTTTGGACAAGATTATTAGTATATATTACTAAAAAAGAAAATCTTTATAGATATGTACATTCTTGTTATAAATTCAACTCAATTATTTATAAATCTATTATACAGGTTCCATTTTTCTCTTTCATGCTGCTGGTATTTGCTTCCTCAGAATTCTAAAGAAATTAAGTTCAGTAAACTAAAGATTAATCTTAAATCACAGGATTATTACATAAGTGATTTTTTTTTTTTTTTTAGTTCAGGAGTCAAGTAGGAATGTGACTTACACAAATCTCTTAGTCCATACTTACCAAGGGCCACAGTGGACTCCTATGATTGCTATAGGGTTTCCTATAATTGGTTATAGTATTAACATTTATAATACAACCTTTGATCCTAGCATAAGCAAACAGTTTACTTTAGGGGGTTAATATGGCAAAATATTGAGTGAGGGTCCGCTAAGATAGTTTCATTATTTAATTTTCTAAAGTAGATTGAACACAAGCCGCCACATCTCATTTCATGTGACATCAAAAGGTTGTTAATAATTGTGGAGAGTGGATGTTTTTGAAGACTGCAAACAGACACAGGCATGGAAGGTAGATATTAATTCTTTTGCCTTTTATCTTTGCCCCTCATTCCCATTCATATTTACTATGGGCTAAAAGTACTTAAAATTATTTATTAATTATCTGATAACCAACAGGTTGAAAGTATATTCTAAGTTACAAAATGTATTCAGTTTCACAGATATTTTAACATCCTGATGAAAAGTACATATACACAGTAAACAACTGTGTTCAATTATCAAGCAGTCTTCTACCAATTTTTATTTATTTATTTAGAGACGGAGTCTCGCTCTGTTGCCCAGGCTGGAGTGCAGTGGTGCAATCTCGGCTCACTGCAACCTCTGCCTCCCGGGTTCAAGCGACTCTCCTGCCTCAGCCTCCTGAGTCGCTGGGATTGCAGGTACCAGTCATCATGTCTGGCTTTCATATTTTTGTAGAGATGGGGTTTTACCATGTTGGCCAGGCCGGTCTTGTACTCTTGACCTCAGGTGATCTGCCTGTCTCAGCCTCCCAAAGTGCTGGGATTACAGCTGTGAGACACTGCGCTGGCCTTCTAGCAATCTTTCGTAGAGCAGTTTCACTCATAGGCTTTGGAGGCTGGGACCTGGGCTCCACCACTGTCTGGAGCTATAACCTTGGTCAAGTATTTAACTCATTTTTTTAAAACAAATTAATCTTTTTGTAAAAAATTATTTATTTAAATCAACAAAGAAAAATTGTATAAATTTATCATGTACAGTATGTTTTAAAATATGTATACATTGGGATGGTTAAATAGAGCTAATTAACATATGTATTACCTCACATATTTATCATTTTTTATAGCAAAAACACTTAAAATCTACTCTCTCAGTAATTTTTAATAAAATATTGTTATTAACTGTAGTTATAATGTTATACAGTAGATCTCTTTAACTTATTCCTCCTACCTAATTGAAAGTGTGTATCCTTTGACCAGCATCTCAATTACTTAACTCTTGAAACCTGGTTTCTTCATGGTTAAATGGAGATAAAAACAGTACCTTACAGGATTGGTGAGAAGATTAAATGAGGTACTGTTTCTCCAAGTCTCAGTTTCCTCATCAGTAAAATGGGAGTGGTAACAGTACCACATAGGGCTGCTGGGAGGATTAAATGAGATAATGCACATAAAACACTTAGCACTGTGCTGGGCACATGGTAAGTGTTCAATAAATGACAGCCAATAGTATTATTATTACCATGATTATGTATCTGATTGTGAAAATGGTAATAAGTTGAAGGCTGAAAACACAGCAATTTTAATATACTAAATCTTTGGTTTAATGGTGCTACATTCATATAGCATTTTAAGATTTTTTTGTCTGCAAACGTTAGGTATTCAATCAATGCTTCCACAATCAATTACTGTGTTTTCTAAGATGACAAAACTGTAACTCATTTCAAGCAAAAGTCATTACTATAGAATACATATACAGAATGGAAACAAATGAATATAATCTGGCTCAGAAACATTTCTCTTAAGAAAAAAAGTCCTAAAAATAAACTGAAAAGGGCATTAAGAATGTATGGGTTACTTCTCAAAGCGAGATTTGTTAAACAACCTAACAGCTGGCTATTAAAGAAATGACAGGAAGGAATTCTCTGCATCTTTTTAAAATAGAAAGAATAATCAGTCTACTCAGGAAGTTAATCATTTATAGGCATTCTCTAATTAAAATTTTTATCTGTATAAGTTCTCTTTGTTGAATCTTTTCAAGGTCTATTACCAAGTAGAATAAATACACACTTGCAAGCAAAACACTGAATGTTTGATATTCTCAAACACATTTGAAATCCACAGGAAAGAAGGGATCAAAACCTTAAAAAATAAGAATACAATAAGTAGAACTCATTTTCTTACTAGCTCAAAACACAGTTCTATGGAAAACACCACAAACTCCATTTAAATGATAGCTAAATAATATGACATTGCTATTTAGTTTAACACCATACATACTACAGAAAATTATAAGTCCCATCTACCTTGTTCTGCTACCAGGGCCTTGAGCTCTCCCAACAAATATTTTATAATTCTAACTTTTTCAGCTGTCTCATTCACATTTTTTGCCTTCTGTACATCCTTGACTGTTTTTGTATCTCGCACACGTATGTTTAAATCCTTTCTTTCACTTGTGGTCTCTCTAATTTTCTCTCTGGCACATTTTTCTTCATTAGTGGCCAAGAAAGCTGGTTGTGACTGAGTAGGGCTTCGGTGTGTCTGACTGTCCAGATGTGTTTCTTTTCCATGAGATCGAAAAAGAGACAAATATGTTTGAAAACATTTTAGTAGGTCTGTTTCCTTATGAACTCCTTGTTGTGGCGGAATTCCATTAACAAAGCCCAGTTGCTGCAATGTTGGAACAGCTGATATGTCAGTTTTGGGCAGACTACATGGAACTCCAGGACTGGTATTAAATGAATTCCTTAGAATATCAGTACAGGTTGCAGAAACTGTTTTACCTTGTGATGCAAACTGACTGTCACCATCAGTTTGAACTTCCTAAAGAAAGAGAAAAACAAGTCTTCAGAAGTATGAGCACTCATTTGTAGGTATTAATTACAACAAACTCAAATATATGAAATATATTTATTAAAAGTTTATTAATATATTTGTTTTGTGAATATTTAATAAGTAGTTACTACTATATTTTGAGAATATACTGTAGTCTGTGTAACTACTCCCATACGGTTAGACATTTAAGTAACAGCCAGTTTTTCACTGCTGAAACATCTCTGTAAATATGTGCAAAAGCTTATTGTATGTTTGAATTTATTTTTTTATGATGTAATTTCCCAAAGTGGACTAATTTTTGATGCTTTTAAACCATCTGTGGTATTTGTAAACAGTCTATTTTAGTCATGGCCTTGTAATGCTCCCATATTACAGGGTAAACTAAGCTTTAAAAAACAAGAATCTTTATTGTACTGAGTAAAAAATCCAACTTACTTACTTTGAAGCTAAAAATATTAGTAAGTTTCTGATATTAGAAACTTGCTTATTAATAATAATACTAATTATAACAAACTCAAATATATGGTTACTACTCCTAACCATATAGTAGTTACATAGACTATGGTATATCCACAAAATACAGTATTAACGAGTTATTAAAAATTCACAAAGGGTATATATTAATAAACATGTTTTAAATAAAGTATTAAGTGAAAGAAGCAGTATATAAGACTGCATAAAGTTTACTTATAACTTTATTTTAAAAGGAAAGCAAAGTTAACAAATACAAACCAGAAACTAAAACCTGTACAGATGATTAAACGATTGGAAAGAACTCTATCAGCGTGTTAAAAGGAGTTGTACTTGGGTGGTCAGTATGGTTGATTTTTTTTCCCCCTACTGATCTCTTTCCCTCTTTCTCCTTCATTATTGTCTTCTTCATTATTGTCATTAAAACATAGGTAAAACTTTTCTTTCTTTTTTTGAGACAGAGTCTCACTCTGTAGCCCAGACCGGAGTGCAGTAGCACGATCTCACTCACTGCTAACTCCCCCTCCTCAGTCCCGGTTCAAGCAATTCCTGCCTCAGCCTCCCAAGTAGCTGGGATTACAGGCATGTGCCACCATACCCAGCTAATTTCTGTATTTTCAGTAGAGATGGAGTTTCACCACGTTGGCCACGCTGGTGTTGAACTCCAGACCTCGTGATCCACCCACCTCGGCCTCCCAAAGGGCTGGGATTACAGGCCTGAGCCACTGTGCCTGGCCATAAATAGGTAAAACTTTTATAGCAAAAAATAAATAAATAAATAAATAAATAAATAAACAACTGATCTTTAAATCCTAGTGCATTAAGTTACAATCAATAAATTCAACAGTCCTTCCCGAATGACGGCTATAAGTGAATAGTTACTTATGTAGTATACAAACTGTACGCACAGAATGAACCTGTGGAGGGCAGGGTGGCCGCTGAGGTGACCAGACTGGGGTGGAGGTACATAAGCCATAACTAGAATGAGGAGTTGCCTGAGATTCTGTAAGTAAGAGGGAGAAAAAATCAATCACATATCCTACTTTTTATACAATAACCAAGAAATTTAATTAGAACTTACACTCATGATTTTTAAACAGCATTCATACTCACCAGCGTGAGATAAAGCATGGCATGGTACAGCAGGAATTCCATTAGGGATGTTCTTTGAAGTCAAGTCATTCATCAGTGACATCTGAGTCTGCACATGCTCACAGAGGGCTTGGTATATTATGGGTGAATACATTCTATAATGATCTTGCAATGACCAATTTTGTTCTAGGTCTGATGTGTCTCTTTCACTTCTAGCAGAAGCTTCATTAGGTATCGGTTTCTTATTATCTGAAGATGCTAATGTGGAAGAAGAAAAAAAGTTCTTGAAATATGATTCTTCAAAAATTCTTACCGTAAGATTTTAAGAGAAGAAAGGGCTCTCAGAAGTAGTACAATTCATCACATACTTCATAGAAGGGCTTTACCACTTTCCCCAGTCAAAAATCATCTATACTAATTCTTACAATTCCCATTTTTTTATGCTACTTGCCATGTGTAAAATCTCTCCTTCAATTTTAACACTTCTTTTAAGGGAGTTATATTATCCCTAAAGTCCAATCAAACTCCTTCACCTTGTTCCTCGTCAGTTCATGTTGTCAAGGGAAAATGGAATAGGAAAGAGAATAGTTGGTACAATTCTGATGCTTTGGGTCCTCAAAAACAAAACAAAACCAATCAAACAAACAAAATCTTAGCCTGGCATTTAAAGTTTTCCAAAGCTTGACCACAACCTACTTTTCCAACTATTGTATATCACCCCCAACTCAAATTTTTCATTTCAGCCAGGCCAATTTAGTTACCCAACAAGCTTTTTTCACCTTCCAATAACATTGTTCATGATGAACCATTCCTTCCAATCCAATTCTAACCACTCACCAAGGCTCATCTGAGTTTCCTTCTTCTATGAAACCTTTTGCAATCCAATCATTCCAGTCTAGTGACTACTCTTCACCACCCCAGAGCACATATTGTCTATACAAATCATATGCCACTGACACACTGCCTTATATTGCTTATCTTTCATCCTCCTGCCTTTCTGACTAAACCGTAAGTTTCTTTATGCAGGGCTGTACTTCATTATTTCGTCTGACAGAGCCTAGTATTAGTCTATGAACAAGGTAGAATTAACAAAGTATTAACAAAGTAATAAGTAAAAAATAACAAAGTTTTCTACATAGCACTACCTATAGATTGGTATAATAATCTGAAATCTATTTCCCTAATTTGATCCCCTTCCCAAATGTTTTTTTAAAACACTATTAACAGAAATGAGAATATTCTGGTAAATCATAGGTTATCAGTATACAAATTTAGAAAATTTAGAAAACATATGGCTATATATTTAGAAAAACATATGGCTAATTGTCGCACCTACCAAAGCTAAACATACATATATCTATGACATAACAATTCCACTCCCAGGTATACACCAATAGAAATGAGTGCTTATGTCTACTGAAAGACATGTACAAGACTGTTCACAGCAGCTTGATTTGCAGGAGCCCAAAGCTGAAAACACCAAATAGCCATGAATAGCAGAAATGGATAAACTGTGGTATACTCACAGGCTGGAATACTATATAGCATTAAAAAAACAAGAAAGTACTGATATATACAACTACCTGGATATTTAATACGCATTAGGCTGAGTGAAAGTAGTCAAACACAAGGGCGCATAGTGTTCAATCACATTTAGAGAAGTCCTCAAACGTAAAAGTCACAAATGGAAATAAGAGTCAGGAAAATGGTTACACAGGGATGAGGGTCTAGGTGATGGTGAGGGTACTGACAGGGAGGGAGCCCTGCAGGGTGCTAAAAATTTTCTATATCTTGATCTAGGTGGTGGCTACAGGGGTGTATACATATGCAAAAGTTTATTGAGATTTATGTACCTTAAAATTAGTTATGAAAAGTATTCCTTATTTTTTTAAAAAACAAAATAATTAAAAATTTAAAACTAGAGAATCCCTCAAATATACAGTTTATTGAAAATAAAAACATTACTAAAAGCATAAAACTTCCATGTAAAAGCAAAAACAGAAAAAGTTAAAGGCAGATTAAATACTATAACCGGTGAAAATAGAAAAAAAAATTAAAGAAAAATACTTAATATTTGACTATGAAAATGGCTGAAGATATCAGATGCTTTCCTTTTGACTTGGGGTATGTTTCCTTTTGAGATGATCTATTCCTATGAATGTACTTTCCAGACCTAAATACAAGCTTTAACACTTATTAGCTGAGTAACCTTGGGCAAATTAACTTCTCTTGACCTCTTTTTCTTCATCAGAAAAATCGTAATAATGCCTATTTTATAAGATTATTGCGAGATGTAAATGAAGTAACACTTGTAAATTTCTTAAATCAATATCTAGCACACAGTAAAAACTCAATGTTAAATATCACCAAATAGCTGCACTCTTACAATAGACAAGCAAATATATCATATTCATAAATCATGCTATCTGATGTCAGTAATAAACCTCTGAACATGTCCCCTCTGAGATTATTAAAATCAAAAGTAATAAGAGTTACCTTCACTATCTGAACAGATCAGCTCAAACAAAACTGGTTAATAAACTTCTATAAAGCAAATACTATTTCTTACTGGAAATACAATTTTATAATAAGTCAAATGGAAAAGCCCTCTAAAATATTTTAACTTTGAAATCTAAAATGATAGAGGGCGAGATTATAGCCCATGACCATCTAGCATACCACAAGTCCTTTCCTCTTGATTCCTGGGTCTTTTCTTCTGCTCTTGGATTTCCTCTGGTCCTTAAGAATTGGCTAGTTTGAGGAATTCTCAGATTTCACACACAGGTCACAGCATCAGGCTCTCATTTACTTTCTTTTCAAGGCATGGTTTTCACGGTCTCTAATAAAGCTAAGCTACATTATGCCTCAGCCAGCAGATGTCATCAACTAACATAAATTAATAAATTCCAAACCTATTTCTTAAAAATCAAAGCCTTAGAACTAAAATGACTTCTTTTGCTCCTTTATAAACTCAAGTCCACACAAAACTCTACTGATAATGTTGAGTAACTTTACTTAACAACATGAAGTCTTAAAGCAAACAATCCAAGTTAGAAACCATAAGGGAAAGACTGCAGTTATATGACTACTACACAATTTTAAAATAAAACTAATGACTAAATGAGTGTTATTACGCAAATACAAATGAAGTATATTTTCTTGCTCTTGTTAATTACACCAACACACTCTACATGAAAATTTTAGCTATTGGTGTGGTAATATGTTTAAGTGATATCAGGTGATAACTAAAATTCACGAAAGGAATGTATTCATTTACTCAGTCCACAAAACTTTTTTAGTCCCTGAAGTCTAGCTGCTGTGCAAGCACTGTCTGACAGGAAGTTATTCCTGCCACTCGAATATAGAACACACATCCAGTGCAGGTAAGAGCCACTGGATGCCTACTATCAATTGAAAGATGTGAGAACACCTGGCCTTTATGAGGGGCAATCAATGCTCAAAGGATTTTTGCCTGTGGTTGGTTTAGTTCCCCAAGATGAAGACAGCAATATATATTACTAAAAGCAAAATCATGAAAGTATTCAACACAGTTATCACATGTAAAAGCTCCTTATTTAAAAAATACGTATTTTATTTAATGCCAGAGCACTCTCAAAAAAGCTCAATACAATTCTGGAAGGGTTTCTCTGCCTCCTTACTCCCAGAATGCATCATGGTGTGCTTACCTGACTCCATAGGCATTCAATGATTGGGTAGGTCTCAGATAGAAAGTACATGAGGGGGCCATTCCCCAGAAGACAGTTAACACAAAATAGCAAGATAATGTGTATTAAAAGTAAAATAATACATGGATACTAGTTAACATACTGTAATAGACTGCTTAAAGTTCTTTATGATTACCTCATTTGGAGAGAGATGGTAAACAGAACAAGTGATGAGCTTGGATTTTGTGTATTGTTGAGCATTGTGGTAACAGAGCAAAATCTTGTATTATTGGTTAACAGCTGCCAACCACATACACACATACAATTAGGAACTAATTTCTAATATTGCAACCCTTAGAAGATAGTCCTGTGGAACTAGGTCCTTCCTTCTAATTAAGAAAATATGGGAGAAACAACAATAGGAATATTGCACCCTGATCACAGGCCAGAACTGCTGATTCGGCTGTAATCCAAATAAGAATTTAATGCTATGGACTCAGAAAGCCAGAATCTTCCATCTGCCAATCCAAATCCACCTCTACTGGTCTTTCACCCTGCTCTCCCTGGAATGCTGATCTATGTGGGCTGCAAAGAGACAGTCCTTCAATATGTCTTGCTGTATATACCAAAAAAGCAAGGCTTTGACCTAAACTCCTTACCTGGGCCACTTCTCAGGGTTGTGTTTGCAGTGAGCAACCTTGAAGGATGAGGTAAGGTTTCCCTCTGGGACAAGTACAGGCTTGATTACTGCTTACTATCAAAGTGACTGATTCCCCAAGCTCAGTGTTCCTCAGCTGCAACCTAAACCTGTGCATCCATATGGGTCCACCGTATCACCCCAACGGGAACTAGGGTGAATAAGAACCAACACAATATGCTGATGCACATACTGCTGCCTGTGCTGTGAGTAATAAAGTCCTTCGTCTCTGATCCAGTAGTCTTGTCCTCTGCTAGCATCCATGACACAGTAAGACTAGCTTACTAGCTCGTGAGAGTCAAATCCCAGACCTGATATACATCAGTAGGGCTTCAGTTGGGTTCAATCCAACTGGAGTCTTGGCATATCAAGGAAAGGAAGAAGCATGAAGTCAGGATATACACTTATTCCTGCTCCCCTTCTATGAGGCCACCTTGGGCTGACTTCGTCCTTTCAATGAAGCTCACTGCTCTTCTCAAGGTAGCATAGTCTACAAACAGTATCTCTTTCTAGATTCAGTAATCTTTCTCTCTCCTAATCCCTTATGGTCTAGAGATGGTAACAGCTCTGCTGCTGCTGCTGCTAGCACTAGGCTCGTGCGACCTAGTAGGCAAAACCTGTGGTTTTCCTATACCCTACTCATATCTTTATGAGTCCCTTTGTAAATAAACATAAACTCTCCTCGAATTACCTCAACTTGAGTGCTGCCATCTGTTTCTTGTTGGAACTCTGACTGACAGAAGCAGTTAAGTCAGGGTCCAATAAGCTGATACTGTGACACCCATTGTCAGTCGCATACATCGCAAATAATAGTTGCTTGAGGAAAGGTGACCTGGATAAGAAATAACCTGCCTACAGACAAAAAGGAGACTGCTACCACTCCTTTCTTTCTCAAT